CAGCCTTTTTATAAAAACATCTTTCATTGAGGTTTTATTATAGACATACTTACCTATAAGATAAATTCGATCTTCTGTCAGTTTACTTTTATTTGAGTCCAGAAGAACTCACTACGAACATTGATTTAGCTCTTTTTTTAAATTCAAATGAGATTAGGTATTCATTTAGGAAATTTTAATTACTTATGCAATTATCAAATTTTTTATATTAATATTTACCCTCCCGTTTTCGAATGGGTTTAGAGTGAATACAGACTTTGGTGAACCAATTTGTACTTTATAAATTTTGCATTATTATTTTTGCACATGTATTCTTATTGTCAATAAAATAATTATAATTAAATGAATTTATAATCAATTAGATTCTTATTAAATTCACATTATTCTCAATTTCAAAAGCAACTTATATCAAATATTTGTACCCGTTTGACTGGTTCTTGTAAACCATAGACCACTGTAGTTTTTATTACAGCACTCTATGGTCGTTATGCATCTGTGGAACGAAATATATATTAACAATTAGAGGTCATTATGTACACCGTGGTCGTATGTAGACGAGATCAATGTGTTGTTGTTGTTAACGATCTGACCTCATCAATTGTTGTTCCCTTCAGAATAAAGTTATCATTATAAGTTTATATATCGTTTTATTTATTGACCCTATACCAAGCATTACACATATATACAAAGGATTGTTAGTAATGTGGATTAATAACCCCATTGCTAGAAAGGTACCTCCAAGAGGTTCCCCCTGGAAACCATCGTGATAAATTCTTGTTGAATTTATCATGATAGCTTAACTGACCAGACCTCATGCTCATCTTCCATTGGTGCCCCGCCAGCGTAAAACGTAACGCAGACGAGTCCACCATTCCATTATTATCAATTAAAATTATATATATAGATCTGTGTGGGAAAGGGGATTGTTAGTATTGGGGACTATGAGTTCCATTGCTAGCAATGGTAACTAACCAGGTCAGGTTAACCTCCACGCGGTGCCATCTGGAAGCCATAATGATAAGTTCCTGGTGAATTTGTCACGATGGGCTAACTGATCTGACCTTATGCTCATCTTATCATCCTCCGCTGGTATCCCGCCAGCGAAGGCCGTTAGCGAAGGCGGGTGCAACATTCCGTTATTATCATTTAAAAGATATATCGTTTAAAAATATAGATATAAGGGGAAAGTGATTGTTAGCTCAATTATAAATATGTCTTATCACTACGACTGATTTAATCTTATTGTGTTTTTATATTTGAGCCTAAATAAATTAGTGCTGGTTGGTAGTTTGTATTCACACGTTTCGACTTGTAAAATGTGGACTTGCAAGGATTGTTTAAAAGAGCAACATGCAAGTTTCTTGCTTATTCTTCTTGTGATGAAGACAGCTTTCCGAATAAGCGGTAGATTAAAAAAAATGTTGGCAGATAGCTAGTGTAATAAGGAGTAACTTAGGCTACTTTTATTTTAGAAAAATAAAGTTAAATTCCACGCGGACGAAGTCGCGGGTCCAGCTAGTATAGTATAAAATAAAATCACTGTCGCTGTCTGTCCCTATGTATGCTAAAATCTTTAAAACTACGCAACGGATTTTGAAGTAGTTTTTTAATATTGATAGTGATTCAAGAAGAAGGTATATATATGTAATCCACAATACCCGGGCGAAGCCGGGCGAGTAGCTAGTTATACAAATATATACAGTACACCATATAAATATGATTATTTTTGAGTGTGAAAATACATATGAGTGAAAGAAGCAGTAAATAGTCTTTGTGTATCGTTGCTGCTGCCGCTCCTTAACATATTATACGAGTATATAATGTTAATGGCCCTATCCCATCACCATTCCATCTACATGGAACCAACAACAGAGCTGGTGCGGCGTATGAAGCGCCTGAAAAAGCCAAAGCATGTAAATACAGGGGTCTAGGCTCCGAATATGACTTTGTCCCATTCGGTGTCGAGACCCTTGGTCTGGGGGTCCTAGCGCTATAAGAGACTTTTCAAATAAATAACGAAAAGGTTAGTCGACATAACAGAAGACCGAAGAGCTGACAGTTACCTTGGACAAAGAATTAGTCTAGCTATTCAAAGAGGGAACGCTGCCAGTATCTTCGGAACTTTGCCTAAGAGTGAAATATATTTTAGTAATTATATTATATTTTTTAAGCTTTTTAAATTTAGGTTCTTAGTTGTACAATTAAGTTATGTAAATAAAAATGTTCAGTTAATTATTATTAAATGATAGTTTACCAAATCGCACGGTACAGTTAATCGTATGATAAGATTATCAATGCATCGCCTTTTTCAGATAACTAGGTTAGTAGATTACATCAAAACTGCACAAATCAGGGTTTTATTTCCTTGTACTATCTGTGTTGGCTTTTTAAGTAGGTATTAGTCAGCAAAAATTATGAGTATACTAGCTGTGCCCGCGGTTTCAACTGTATTAAATATATATAGTCGGGGTAAGAGTATTGTTAGTAATGTGGGCTGATGATCTCAATGTACCATGTCAGGTTGACCTCCACACGGTTCCCCGTGGAAGCCGTCGTCATAAGTTAAGTATAATAGTTTATTAAAGCAAGCTGGAAGTATTATTAGCTGAAACGTGTGAGACAGATGTTCCCATGACTGCTGAAGACCACTGTACAATATCTACCTCACAATCTATTATATAACGTAAGTAGGTATATAGGTTATGATAATTTTAGTGACAATTGGCCTTAATTGAGTTTATCTTATCTATATTATATATAAAATAAGTAGGTCCTTACATAATTATGAACTTCTTTGATGTTTCCTAATGATTGTGATATGCCTAATTGAACATATAGTAGTATAACGTAGATTGTATGAAGATATAATGATGATAATCTAATTAATTAGTAGAGACGGCTCGGCACCTATCAAGTTGGATTCGAAATATTCCAAGCAAAATGTGTACATGTTAAGTATCGATTGATGTTGAGCAACATAACGGAATTTGCCACGGTGGTTTAGAAGTTTACCACACCGCTTTACTTCCAACGTTCGCGGGTTCGATACCTCGCACGGCACAAACGTTTGTATTCATATGTATGATTATTTGTATCAGTCTAGGTGCTTTCTATGTATAATATGTATGTATTTACGAAAATAAATCTATGAAGCTTTAACTAGCTTAACTTGGGTATAGATGGCGCTGTGTGAATTGTCCTGAAATTATTATTATCATGATGAAGCAGGCGTTCCACAATTTTGTTACTGTCTTTATCATGTAAATTTAGACATAAGATTTGTTCCTAGATGTATTTACTATTATTTTATGTGTCATGGCGTATTGCCATTATTTAAATAAAATATTAGCATTATGCACTCCTTCTCTATATAAACGTTTTTTTTTCGGACTACTCTTATGCTGTTGGCCGCAGCTGGCTTTTACAGCTTCACCGGACGTTAGGGGGCGAGTGCAGATGGCACTCCAAACCCGCGGAAGGACTTGTGGATCGGCTGAAGGCCAACTCCTGCCTGACGGATACGACTTTAGTCTGAGGGCACCACTAGGGGTTCGAACCTCGGCTCAAGCAGTCGTAATTTCGATCCCCGTTTGAATTGGACGAGGGATCGATCGGAGGGGGATATAAACCTAAAGTTTGAGAAATTTCATACTCCGCGCAATTTTCGTAAAAAGGGGTACAAAGGTTTTGCTTCACCTATTAATGTATACTATATACTAAATAGCACACATTCAAACGTTTCAATATTTCAAGAATGAACTTTATATTCTTAAGATTAAAAATCAATATTGCTAAATTTATACTTGAGTGCGATATCATACCTAACCTATTGTAATGTCATACCATACAAACGCACAATATGTAATGTGTTTAAAGATAACGATTTTAGCAAATGAACTAAGTAAATAATATGAAATTTGTTGCATATTCAGTTGATAAACGCAAAAGTTTGTGAGTATGGATGGGTGGATGGATTAATGTTTGTTACTCTTTTGCGGAAAAACTACTAAACGTATTTCGATGAAATTTTACAGTAATATAGCTTATACATCAGAATAACGCATATCGGGGTAAATTGTAAGACGTCCTCTACGAGTTTAGAAATAGAAAATTATTTATTCCAATAAGATTAAATTTAAGCATATTACATATTGAATGATTATATTGAATAGTCATTCTTATTTTTTTAATCTACAGCTCATTCGGAAAGCTGACTGTTATAATCGTTCGCCAGCGTGTCCCGCTAAAGCAGATTTTTATGACATTAAATGTATTTTCCAGAAGTTTAATATAATCATGTTTATTATTGAGTACAATATATAAGTTCTGATTTGACTATAACAGTCGCACCTACCTACTGACTCTAAAAAGAACCATCATATTGTGTGCACAGACCAGTTCGGTTTAGATGCTCGAAGTGAAAAATACTTATAAGAAGAAATTAATAGTCTCTCGTTGCTGCTGCCGCCCCGTAACGTATCATTCTTCTTGTGTCATACAAGAAGAATGAAGAAGAATGAACAAAATACCTATATCTATAAATTTTAAATAAATATTGATTGATTGAAATAAATATTGAATTACATTATTAGGAATTTTGTGTAAATACGAACATCACAACATAGCAAACTTGACATAAATATGAGGAAGTTACTTGAGTAACAAATTATAGTTATCAGAGTAGACTAGCCCCTAAAGAAGACTGACAAATTAACACACATATTCGAAAAAAAAAATGAAGTGTGTGTTTTCTGTGTAAATTATGTATGATTATATGTATGTATATTTACAAAAAAAATCTTTAAGTATTTATATCAGTCGTCTAGTACCCATAACGAACTCTGCTTACCGTGGGACCAGATGACGCTGTGCTGTGAGACTTGCGCTCCCTTGAAGCAACACCCCATTTTATCAAGTTGTACCGACGTATAAAGCCAACGAATTGCTTATAATAAAAAAAAACTGATTAAGAATATTTAATGTATTTAATTTATTCTGTGTATAACAATCAGACGTCTATGCTGCTGCCATTCTTCTCGGACTCTTCGATTTCCTTCAACAAAGGTGCGGTGCCACACATTCTAGCGTTCTTCGTATAGGCGATTACCCCAACACATAAACCGGAAATTACGATCCATAGGCCCCCAATGTAGAAGGTCATGTCCCAAGAACCGGTTAAATCGTAGAGCAACCCTGGAACGTGAATATTGTCTATTTATTGCAATATCTTGTTAATTAATATTATAAACGCGAAAGTTTATGAGTATTACGCAAAAACTACTGAACGAATTTTGATGTAACTTTACAGGAATACAGTTTATATATCATAATAACATATTATAGCCTATAAATTTCATGCGGCTGAAACCGCCGGCACAGCTAGTTTAAAATTAATGAACAATGACGGCCTTGGTGGTCTAGTGGTTTAGCCGCCTTACCTCCGATGGTCGCGGGTTCGATTCCTCGCACCGTACAAACATTTGTATCAGTATGATTGTATCAGTCTGGATGTTTTCTATGTATGTATGTAAAATATCTAAGTATTTATATCAGTTGTCTAGTACCCATAACACAAGCTCTGCTTGCTCTCAGACCACCGTCTCTCAGTTTAATTTCGGTTTGTTATCGATGTCTCCATCAACAAGAACTTATAACTAAAGATCGAGCTCAAATCACGACAGCCTCTAAGATCTGAATATTGCTTTATTCTTTAGATTCATTGTTATCTACTTTGAAGGTTTAATATAAAAAAAATATCAAATAATACATGATAGTTTTTATTATTCCTTACCTCCAATCGGCGGTCCAACCAAATGTCCAATACCTTGACTGAGCAATATCAATCCATACGCGATTGTGAACTGATCAATTGGTATCAACTCCATCAATATTGCTGGCGTGTAAGAATAGGAGCTGGCGAAGGAGAGCCCAAATATAGCAGATATGACAGTCAGGGCCCAATAATTGGTGATGAACATGGGGTAAGCGGCCACAGATAAGCCACAAATAGTTAGACAAATAGCGTATGTTTTGATAACGTGAACCCAGGGTTGATCTCCCGCCCATCCAAGCCCCACCTGTCCAAAATAATTATGATATAAATATAATTCATTGTTATATTATACTCTTATTGAATATTAAACCACAGATAAAATAATATTAGTATTAATATAACGCATACAGCTATGACACGCTCGGCGGCTGACAGGCTGTGCGCCGTGCAATATTGTGTATCTGTGGCGCATTACGTTTTGCGCGGGAAAATAAAAACACTAAACTTCTTCTGCATGCTAAACATGCTGATTTGATGTATTCTTCATTTTTAATTATTTTAAAATTGATATAGACCGAATAACGTTTTTTTGTACAAAATAAATATAGATATTTTCCACTATCTTATTTTGTTTTCAACAGCTAACTATACTATGTACGCTGTAGCATGGTGCAGGTGACAGTTTACCTATCTATGTTTCGACATTATAATATCTCGGTTTTTAAGAATGACAACGGATAAAAAGTACTTAGCAAATAGAATTCGTCTATAGGCTACGGTAGCCATTTATCATATCAGCCGTTTGTTTGATTGCCACCATCGTAGTATAAGATAGTACCACAAGTTTCATATTCATAATTAAGGGTTTAGGGCCAAAATTCATAAAGAATCCTAAATTCATCCACCTAAATCCTAGTACTGCCATTAGTTTTCACGTAATGGCAGTTAAAAAGAAGCGACACCTAGTTATTTTTTTACGTTACATTATTCATTAGTATTTTTTCTATAAATGAAATATATTATTAGCCAGTACCAGCGTGTCTAAAATTGTAAAACATTAATAATGGCGCCAAAACAGTGCAGAAGAAGTGTTGTTTCATATATGATAGATTTAAGTTGGCCAAAATATTTAAAATCAACTTCACCATTGATTAACGTTTCGGTCTTACGATAAATTTAAAAATATTGACTTGTTGGAAATTCCGTGGCGTAATCTACCTATAAATAAAATTGTAGTGTCTGTTTGTAATATTGAAATAACCGTTTTTACTACATGCATATTAATATAAAATTGTAACACCAAAATATCACTTTTTACAATTTTTATCCGTCTGTCTGTCTGTCTGTTTGTTCCGGCTAATCTCTAAAATGACTGGACCGATTTTGACGGGACTTTATTTGGCAGGTAGCTGATGTAATAGGAGTAACTTAGGCTACTTTTATATAAGAAAAATAATGTTAAATTCCACGCGGACGAAGTCGCGAGTACAGCTAGTATTAAGTATAAAACTTACGATTCCAATACTGCTGGCAATACCAATGATGCTAGTCATCATAGGACCGCCTTCTATATTCATCGCGGTCATGTAAGACTTGAGGAAGAAATAAGGCACGATAAACCACACTGATAGAATCAGGGAAGACAAGTTGAACATGAGGAAGTGGAACTCCGTGAACATCCGGAAATCAAAAGTGGTTTTTAAGGTCTCCCAAAGACGGTGATACCATTTCTGTGAACAAAAAATATTGCGTTTTTAGGCGATATTATACGGTAGGACGTTGTGTATACGAATTAATTTTGTTTGTCTTTATGTCTTGACTGATTGAAATTTCTTCATTTGTCAACATATTTGTTTGTATGTTTGTTTGACGAACACACAAAATATAGAGTTCAAGTAGGTATATACTAATATTATAAATAGGAAAGTGGCTATCTTTTTGATTCTTACATTTCACAATTAGAGGGTTGAAGGATTTTAATTAAATTTAAAGAAAAAAGAAAGATTTTCCGTAAATAGCTGGTTTTAGAGATAATAAAATATAATTTTTGTCCTACTTAAAATATAATAAATCAATACACAATACACACAATAATTTACTCACCATTTCATCATCGGATTCAGAACCAATCGACCACATAGAATTCCTGTAAATATCCGGCAATGATGATGTTTTTAATCTGTACCTTGGAATATTCATCATTGCTCCGCGGTACATAATAGTATTTCTATACAGTGGCATATCTTTAAGGTAGTGATGATCAGTTGATATCTGCCTGGCTATCCAGTTGGTTGAATGAGAAGTAGGTTGAGATTTCTCTTTATGTTTATGATGATGATGATGTCGTGATTCTTCAGCCGCGTTAGATTTACTAATATCTTTTGGTTTTGCATTAGCACCATCAGTTTTTATTTCCTCTTTATTTACTTCAGTTTTACTTTTGCTTTCCACCTTTATTTTAATTTGTACAGGCAGTTTTTGAGCTTCGTTAGATATTTCTTCTGCAGGAGCGTCGACGTTTATATTCATTTCTGATCTTCTTCGTGCTAATAGATCTGGATAGTTTTCTAATATGATATTATATAATTGTTTGTTTGCCATTAACTTTTCAATAACCTCTGGTGGTACCTGAGAAAATGAAAGTAATATTAATATTAGTGATTTTCTATTTTGTGTATAAAAAAAACTTGATTTTGAAGGATTATACCTTTTCTCTTCCTTGTATAAATGTTGGCAGATGAATAGCGGAATGCATTCTTCTGTATATTGGTTCCGCATTAAGTTGTGTAGTCGTTTCTAATTTTTCTGCTTCTGCAATCGTTTCAGCTAAAGTTGCTAAAATATATTCTGGACTTTTTCCACTTGACAGTAAACTTTTTAGTTCCTCAGCATCTAGATAAACTGATTCTCCTCCAAGAGATTTTGATGAAATTGATCCGGCACTTGATGACCTTCTAGATCTGGATTTAGATAATCTACGTTCTCGTTTTTGTTTAATTTCAAGCCATTCGGGGTTGCGCATTACGGCTCCGCAGACGCACATATTAAGCAAAGTTCCAGCCAGTAGTACAATAGTATTCCTCCAATCATAAACTTCAAGAAAATAAGCCGTCATAGGTGAATATATTAATGTTCCAAAGCCGATACCGCATGAAGCTAAAGATACCGCAAGATTTCTCTTTTTATCAAACCAAAATGCTACTGATACTACAGCTGTAACGTATAATATACCCATGGCTAGTCCACTTATAAAGCCAAATGTTAAACATAACATTTCAACTGAATTGCTGAAGGCGGCTAATAAGAATCCAATTGTGGACATAACTCCCGCGATCATAGTCATTATTCTACATCCATACCTGTCTACTAAGGCACTCATTACGGGTCCTGCCAATAGTGGAGTAGCAATAAAAAGACTGCCAATCAAAGATGTTTTTGATTGCGTTGTTTCAAAATATTGTGTAAACTCTTCATGTAGCAGTCCAAATGAAAATGCTAAGCCGTCAGCGCATGCTGAGACAAGAAATGCTGAAGCTACCACAACCCATCCCCATCCACCGTCAGGGATTGGTGGTGGTTTTTCGTCATCAGAATCATCAGAGCAAATGCTGTCTTTATCATCTAAACCCTCGAACTTTACTCTTTCTACAGGCGGAGAATCGTTTACTTTAGTATAATGCGCTACAATCTCTTTCGATTCTGATTTGAGTGAGTTAATTTTGTTCATATCTTTGATCTCTTCATCATGGGAATCATCATGCGAGTCTGTACCTGAGGTAGCGTTTGTTAGTTTCTTCTCTTCTGACATCTTAATTATTATTTAAAATGACTAGACTTTGTTCATCACTCTGGTGATTATTATCTGAAAAGAAATAAAGAATAAATACAATAGAAAAATAAACTAATTTACGTGCGACTTTACTGTATTTTATGTTACATTAAGCGCGGAAAATAATTACCTACTCTTACGAAAACCTTACTCTACTACATCATCTAGAATTGAGTTCTATTTCAAACAACAAGAGGAATTTTTCAATACTAATTAAGTTTTAATTTTCCGTGTGAATATTGAGACTCGACAATTTATTATTTATTTATTAATTCAAAACAATGTAACTTATACAGTAAATTTTTGTCTGTTGTTTTAAAATCGACAAAAATCATCCAGAAATATGGATAATAGATGGAGGTGACGATTATTTGTAACACAATGACAGCAAAGAAGCATACGACCCTTCTAATAGTAAACAACTACTGCCTATATACGTCTCAAATATTAGGGGTATAGTGACGACCCTTAAAAAACATTAGTACACCTTTTTTTGAAGAATCCTATGCTGTAGTCTTTATAGAAAACCTTGGCAGGTAGTTCATTCCACAAATTTAGTGCGCGCGCTAGAAATTATGACAAAATTTTACTTTTGAGTTTACTCTTTACATATGAATGATTAGATATTTTCATATTATTATATTAATTAAGATTTAGCACATTTCAGAATAAATTCCGCTGTGTTAATTTGCAATTTTCTATGCTACACGATTTAGTACATTAATTATATTAAAATAAAAGGTAGTTAATTGAATAGCATGGCATGAGTTGTGAATACTTCACAAGGTCAAACAATAATCGTGTCGAGGAAACTAAAATCTATTTAACTAAGTAGTTGCAGTAGTTATACAAAGCATAAATAGTAACGTAGATTAAATTTGTTTGTGTGGATTTCAATACCAGGCGTTAAAGGGAATTTGTACATAGATAGACAGATTTCACCAATTCACTAGAACCAATTGACAACTAATTATTCACCAATTTAGAGATAAGAAACTAAGTATTTGTATTAGTTTTTAAAATAAAAAAATATATTTTTTTTAGCTGATCTGTTAGGATTTGAACTTCTAGAATACGGAGTCATGACAACATAGTCCATTCAGTATAGTAAAACATGAGAGGTAATATAGACATCACATGATGACGGGATGGTCGTAATGCTTCATATATATAGGCAACGATTTCAGGTGCCTTCCAGTTACATAAAAAAATACTAAAAAAAATAATAGATAGTACAAGACATGAGTAGGTCATGTTGATGGTTTTGATTAGCAGTTCGCTGTTAGTATTACATGGTACGTGGGTTCATTGAAGCGTTGCTGTCTTGTGTAACACTCCATTGTCTGTTTGTACTCACTCCAAATATAAACATTTACTGCATCAGACAGACGTACAGATGTAAGCAAGTTGCCGAGTATAAAGACTGGTAGTTTTATTATCTACTAGCAACATGCCCCGGCTACCCACGAGCCCAATATTTTCTTTTATTAAAACTGTAGCGCTGTGGTCATCACCTCACCACTAGTGTTATATATGTGATGTGAGGTGTTGCTACATAATATATTGTTTATTGTAGAATCTAGGTAGTGAGTATACAGGTGTAATAATTGTACTATTTATTATACATTAGTAAGTAACACGTACATTCGACGCGGAGTCGGGCCATAGACTGTTTTATAGAATAGAATAGAATAGAAAATCATTTATTCAAATAAACTTACATTGAAGCATTTTTGAATAGTCATTACATTTTTTAATCTACCGCTCGTTCGGAAAGCTGTCTCATCACAAGAAGAACGAGTTTTTTTATACATTTAACTTAAATCTATGTTAGTGGAAACGTAAACTAATGGAAGGGTCTCAAGTGTTGACAGAAATGTTACAAGTGTAGGCACAAAATAAGATATCTCCTAAAGAGTTCGTTAAAATTAAATTACGTAAAGGACAATTTTGTTCAAAATTAAATAGTTATAATAAATAACGTATTTATTTGGATAAGGATTAATATCATGTTTATAAAATATCTTCGCAAATAATGCATTATATTAGAAGAAATTTGTTTATCATAAAAAAGGTGATAGTAAGTTAACCTGAAAGAATAGATATATGTTGTCGAGGACTTTTTTATAACTTTTAAAGTAGAACAATTCCGTAAACATTTTAATAACTTTAGCCGCTTATGCAGCGCACACAATGGAAGCATGTATAAGGAAAATTTATTATTACATTTTTCTTTCCTCCTCGGCTTCTATTGGTCCGAGAGTGATGTTGTATTGCCTTTAGTACTCGGGGATAAATGTATTTTTATAATCGGAGCCATATATTACTACGAACAAACAAACATACAAACATTACCTCTTTTTAATTATAACTTAAATCGCTATTTAAAAATCGTCAAATTAAAAGAAAAATTAAATGTTAGAGGTAGAAAACTCTAGGTACTTATCACTTAGGGATATGATAAATAGATAGTAGGTATCCGATTCTCAGACCTGCTGAATATGCATATAAAATTTTATATTAAAAATCGGCTTTAAAAATGAAAACAAGCTGTTTCGGAGGAACTTGTTAGGTAGCTAACATTGTGACACAAAGATTTTATATATAAGATATATTATTTAAGTTAAAGTTTTATTTTCCAGAAACGACTAAACTCGTCATTCTTTTTGATAGAAAAAACTCGAGAGATGATTTTCATATTTCGTATTATTATTTGATTTTACTCATTTAAAGCGTAGAAAACTAGAAATTTAAACATGAAATCTCAAAAAAGTCGTAAAATATGAATATTTAACAACATCACAACATTATGAACAAATCGGTCTAATCCATATTTCCTGCATATTCGCGCTACTTCGGAATTTGGCGGGAAAATGACCGACATAGTGTCAACATGAATTATAAACAAGCTGATGACTGAACCCTGTGTGAATTATCCAGAAATATTATTACAAATCATGCAGACTTTGAGCACCCAGATGAAGCCGTGACTATTAGTTTATGTATAAAATATGTAGAACTAAATGAATACTCTGTAAATATTGTATTTGCCTATCAGTATGCCTCAGTCGTTGACAGCAAGAAGTCATATCACTTGACTGAGACAAATAATAACACATGATACTGAAGACAACGGCTGTATGGGCTTAGACTCTTTGCCTTTTTTATAGGGATGAATAAAACTAAAAATAAAACAGTAACACAATCTCAGACGTCATCAAACAATTTATAAATAGTCCTTTTCTTATTCGTTTTTTTTTTCATCTCAGCAAAAGGCAATAGGACTCAGCCCGTACAGTCATTGTCCTCATTAGAATATAAATAGCTCATAAGGTATATAAAATGGCAGAAAAGACGTTTATTAAGTTTTTTTTATTCCACTCTAAAGGAACAGTAGGACTTTTTTTCTTTTCTTTTGGCTCCGGCGAAGCAGTGGGGCTTATTTCTATAATAGATCTATCTCATTCAGTGCAACACTGGTATAGTAAAGAATTGGTAATAATATGTGCAAGGAATAAATATAACACTGAATATGTAACAGCGCCATCTTGTCATACACTTGAATTTACTAAGAGACTCACAAGAGAGCGTCGTGGACTACTGGTGTACCTACTTTGACCTAAAACGAGAAGTGATGAGTTCGAACCTGGCTGACACCGAAAAACTTTTATATTTCTACCGAGATACATATATCGAAAATAATTTAAATATATCCTATCCTAATCGATTCATTTTTCATTTAACAACGGTTTAATTATACACACTTAAAAACATTTGAACAACCACAATAGGCACTTTGGAATTGATTAGAATTTATATTATTTAGCTTAATTTCTGCAATTTTTTCATAAAATTTATATCATAATTCTTTTTGGATTTAAATTTGGAACTTATTATATAGCCAAAATATAACTAAATGTACATACCTATATGTGAATGAGTAATTGTGCGCTGTTATTCATTTATTAATTGAAAGTATTTTTAAACATTACTATTAATATTAAAATATTGATTTTCTCTATTCCTTGTCCATATAAACATTAATATGTCACATAGACCATCTGTGTAATTGTCGTAAATAATTTTTTTCACAAATTAACATTACGATATCGTAGCTATCGTGGAGTATTGTGAACCATGACCTCGAAAGAACGCGACAAAACTAACACACGCCTTTTTATAAGTGCTCGTCTCGCAACATGTGCATTATCTGTCAATTTTTATAACAATAAAAAAAAATATTTGGCTGTACGAGCTTAGACTCTTTACCTTTTCAATGAGCATAAATAAAACCAAATAAATAAATATTGTTATTTCATTATCTGTCAATTTTCATAACCAATAAAAAATTGATTTTACACAGTATGGGCTTAAATTTTTATGGGCTTTGACGTTTTTGCTTTACAAATTAACACGACAAACTTTTTTTTTTCGGACTACTCTAATGCTATTGGCCGCAGCTGGCCTTTACAGCTTCACCGGACGTTAGGGGACGAGGGCAGATGGCACTCCAAACCCGCGGAAGGACTTATGGAGCGGCTGAAGGCCAACTCATGCCTGACGGATACGACTTTAGTCTGAGGGCACCACTAGGGGTTCGAACCTCGGCTCAGGCCGTCGTAATTTCGATCCCCGTTTGAAATAAATGAAAAAACTAACACACGCCTTTTGTAAGTGCTCGTCTCGCAACATGTGCATTATCTGTCAATTTTTATAACAATATAAAAAATATTTGGCTGTACGAGCTTAGACTCTACCTTTTTAAGGAGGATAAATAAAAACAAATAATATAAGACATTGAAATTTGTTGTTTTTTCATTATCTGTCAGTTTTCAAAAACAATAAAAATTTATATTCGGCTGTATGGGCTTATACTTTGTACCTTTTTAATGAAGTTAATTTTATTTAATCTAATAAATAATCCGTACGCGTGGAATTTAACTTTATTGTTCTAAAATTAAAGTATTTTCTAAAACAAAAGTAGCTTAAGTTACTCCTTATTACATCAGCTACCTGCCAATAAAAGTCCCGTCAAAATCGGTCCAGCGATTTCAGAGATTAGCCGGAACAACAGACAGATAAAACTTGTAAAACATGTTATTTTGGTATATGTACCGTATTTATACTCATATCATGTAGTGAAAATCAGTTATTTCAATATTACAAACAGACACTCCAATTTTATTCTTATTTTATTTAAAGTCGCTTCCGCTATCTGTTCGCATATCTATTAAACTACGCAACTGATTTTAATGCAGTTTTTAGCAATTTGAGTGATTTAAGAGGAAGGTTTATATGTACAATACATGTACATCCGTGCGAAGCTAGAGTGGCCAGCTAGTTACATTATAAACGACAGAATAAAGTATTGAGTTATTATAAAGATTACAATCAGTTACTAGATAATTGTCTGCAAGTCTTAAATACATTAGGCTTCCCTTAGCACCTGTTATCATTATGTCTTCGTGTAGTATCTAAATAAAGTATTGGGTTTGATTCTCGGGTTGTTTATATTTGGCAGTAGAATTTCAATTCCCGTGTTCTAAATATAATTCAGTTGTAATGCTTTGTAGTTTGCGGTAATTTATGCACAAGACCGTAGACAATGAAGCATGCGGAGTACGTATATACAATTTTAGATAATATTATTATGAGTCACGTGGTATCCACATAATTCTCAATTTGTTTTGCCGGTTTCTTATTCGAATTTGTATTAATATTGATATTCACTGGCAACACATAATTATTTGTGAACTATATGTACCATAGAAGGACACTTTCAATTTCTGTTGCTTTTGCCTCGTTTTAAAATAAAAACAAATTGTTGTTATACAATTTTCGATATTCAAATATTGAATTATTTCTTATGACAGTATATTGTTAATGGCCAGTATTTAAAACACAATTTATGTAGTAATTTATAAGCACTAACCTGATTATTTCACAAAGATCGGTTAACCGTAAACGAGTCCACATAACCTCAAAGCGAGACTTAATTTGATAAATAAATAATTACGGCACGGGCGTCATAATGTACGCGAGATTGAAAACCAACTAAATTTGGCGTTATAGCGTTGGCGCCGATTTGTGTCTGACCGATTTTAATGGCAGCTGTACACTAAAAGTACTGTTATTTTTTTTTATTAACGATAATTGAAATATACAGCCAGCCTGCGCTTTCAGTTTACGCTGGCGGAGCACCAGTGTGTTGAATTGGGAGATATTCCGAGTGAAATGACTTAGATATTTTTTAATAAAATACGAACATGATGTAAACGTAATTTTTAATCTATCAATATATTAATTTTACTATGACAGAATTTATTACACAAATAATTATGTATATGAAACTCTATATTCATTTAACATGCCCCTTAATTGTATTTTAATTTAACAAGTCTAAGTATTTAAGAACACCAATAAACATTTTAAGAAAACTACTTTTAAAAAACTCTTAATACCTACTACTTACTTACAGAACTATAACTATTACAATAAACAAAAAAAAACTTCTTTCTTAAAATAAAATAAAATTACTTGTATAGTTGCCCCCTTAATTTTGTTTTTTAAACTAAGATATAATGTAGGACTTTAAATAAGAAAATTTAACATTTCTTATTTAAAGTCTTCGAGAAAATATCAGCAATTTGATGCTCAGATGGGCAATATTTTATTATACAATTATGTATATGAACCTCTATGTTCATTCAACACAGTGGAGGATGATATATGAACATGAGGTCAGGTCCGGTAGCCTATTGTGTGAAATTCATCAGGAATTTATCGTAATAGTTTCCAGGGGAACCTGACATGGTACATTGCACATGTTAAATTCACCCAAGACCACTGCTCTGAAACTGCCTCCAATTTTAGTGCGTACTGTGTAGGCTGTTTAAATATACGACGCCATTTGCAGATGCATTTTTTGTTCTCTTTATTTTATTGGAATTTTTGTAAATAAAATGTTTATTTATTTAGTTCCAATCCTACAGCCATTTTCACAGGTCTTAGTCTACAATTTTTTTTTCAAATTAGTTATAGTTTATCTTACTAATACATATTATAAACGCAAAAGTTGGTGAATATGGATGGATGTTTGTTCCTCTTTCACGCAAAAACTACTGAACGGATTTTGATGAAACTTTACAGTAACATAGCTTATACATCAGAATAACACATAGGCTACAATTTAAAAAGGTATTATGTAAATTGTGCGTAGTAGCCCTAGTCGACTAGTAATAAATAAAGCGATCTTAGTGAATTCCTTCAGAGAATAAGAAAACAGAAGTAATTTCACTGCTATATACTGTGCAAAGTGCGTGAAAGTGGTGATAGGAATCCTTTCGTACCTATACTAAATAACAAAATAATAATCAACTTAAATTAATAGGATACCAATGGAGAGATGGAGATTGTTAGTAATCGGAACTAGTAACTACTATTGCTACCAATGTACCATGTTAGGTCGACCTCCACGCGGTTCCCCCAGGAAATCATCGTAATAAATTCTTGCTGAATTTGTCACGATGGGTTAACTCACCTGACCTTACGCTCATCTTATTATCCTCCACTGATGCCCAGCCAGGGTAAACTGTTAGCGCAGGCGGGTGCATCATTCCATTATCATACACAAAAAAAATATGATACCAACCAGAACAATATAGCCACGATGCATTCTAGTTTTGATAGCTATAGCAACGCTGTGTGTGTACAACAGGCGTTGCGGTTAGTGAGGGGGACACGTGTTATCTGAGTGTTATCGATATGCGAGTTACTGGTGGCTGATATCGGTATTTTAATTATGCGAGTGGACAGTTGTACAAACATGACACCCGAGTGGGGACCACCCTGTAAGTGCTAACAAATTATCTGTGTTTCCAGCTACAGGAGTTAGTGCTAGTAGCATTTATTCGAATAAAAGCTAATTGCTGTATATATAGTATCTATATATGGACATAAAACTAACACAAGTACGCGGGTGCATTTTTTTATATATTACACGTACGTTAAAGTGCTATCAAATTACATGTGTTCCCAGTTACAGGAGATAGTGTTAGTAGAATTTATTCGAAAAAAAAACAAATTGTTGTATTTATAGTATATATAGCTGTACTCGTGACTACGTCCGCGTGGAATTTAACTTTATTTTTCTAAAATAAAAGTAGCCTATGTTACTCCTTATTATATCAGCTACCTGTCAATAAAAGTCCCATCAAAATCGGTCCAGCCATTTCAGAGATTAGCCGGAACAAACAGACAGGTAGACAAAAATTGTTTATATTTATATGCATGTATTAAAAAACGGTTATTTCAATATTACAAACAGACACTTCAATTATATTTATATATGTATAGATTGACATAAAAATTACTTACACAAGCATTCGGGTGCAATACTTTGTGTATTATTCGTATGTTCATTCAAACCCACCGACGCACATAACTGCACACACACACACACACATACACACACATTCTCTATCGCTCATAGAAGACCAACAAACAAACAGACACACATAAGCAATGTACCATGTCAGGTTGACCTCCACGCGGTCCCCCCTGGAAACCATCGTGATAAATTTCTGGTGAATTTGTCACGATGGGCTGACTGACCTGACCTCATGCTCATCTTATCCTCCACTGGTGCCCCGCCAGCGTAAGCCGTTAGCGCAGGCGGTGCAACAATACATTATCATCCTTAAAAAAAAAATAGACGTAAGTACTTTCATTATGTTATGTAAATGTGTCTTTACATTTTGTTTGATGTGATGTTGATGGTTTTGCGTTAGTGGTACCTAAATACGGATAATGAGGTGTCACTTTCTTGTTTAGTCGTTGAGTCTTACTCGGCTGATCTGGATAAACAACTTATGTATAATACTAAAATCATGGACAATATTAGATGATAAAAGATATCAAGGACATTCAAAACATCTGTTAAATCATATTTACTGAGTAAAGCATCTCTCACTAAACGATTACTTGAATAAATAACGTACATGGCAATAGTTGTTCATGCACAGGACTTTCATTTAATGTTAGACATAGACACCTATATAA